TTTTTCATTACCAAATGAGAGAAATATTTATTTTCTCTTAGTATGGTACGAGTTGTGGCACTGTCCAGAAGGCACATATCTCCATTACTCATCTTGGATCCAACTGAAGATTGAGAAATTTTATTTATCTTCAGAAAAATAAAAATACATAATAAGAAGTACGAAACTTAACAAAAGAAAATTTAAGTACATCAACTTTAAATAACATATTAAAAATACATAACAACATTATTCATTTCCAGTTCAATTATCAATCTTTCAACTGCGATCCCCAAAGAAGTCCTCAGCTTCTAGATGAGTAATATCATCAAGCACATCTAAAACATCATCTTTCAATGCTAAGTTTGCCTCAACATTCTCATCATATTTTCGAGAAGATCCTGCCTGAACATCATCTTTGAGAGTCAAATGTGACTCCACACGAGCATTAGAAGAGGAGGCACCGCCTTTATTTTCCCTCCTTTTGAAGGAATTTTGATATAGCCTGACAAAATGCTCAGGTGCCCGACATTCATTTTGCCAGTGACCTTTAAGGCCACAACGATGACAGTGATCGCCCTTTCCTTTAGAAGGATTATTTTGAGAACCAACATTGTTCTCCCTTTTGTTATGACCACTACCTCGACGATTATTATATCGTCTTTTTCCCTTGCCATGCCCACGCATATTATCATGGTCTCGATTATTTTGTCTTATTTCATACTGGTCATGTGCTTCTACCCCATGTGCCTCTGGCAATGGAGCACTTCCAGCTGGATGGGCTTCATGATTTTTCATTAAAAGGCCATTATGCTGCTCAGCCACCAAAAGGCACGAGATCAGTTCAAAGCATTTCTGAAAACCTTTTTCACGATATTGATGTTATAATATCATATTAGAGGCATGGAAAGTAGTTAGTGTCTTTTCCAACATGTCCTCATCTTTTATAGTTTCCCCACATAATTTCAATTGGGAAGTTATTCTAAATACAATAGAGTTATACTCAATTACGATTTTATAATCTTGAAACCATAAGTGCATCCACTCATAACGATCCCTTGGCAATACAGTTGCCTTGAGGTGGTAATACCTCCCTTTCAAACCTATCCACAATTCAAGTGGATCTTTCACTGTTAAGTATTCAACCTTCAGTCTTTCATCAAGATGACACGAAGAAAAATCATAGCTTTCACTTTATCCTGACTTGATGCCTTATTTCCTTCGATTATACAATCACCAGGACCCTTAGCAGTAAGGTGAATTTCAGCATCAAGTACCCATGACAAATAGTTCTTTCCAGAAATGTCAAGTGCCACAAATTCAAGCTTTGACAAATTCGACATGATGAAAACTATCATAAAATAATTGAGTTAATATTATGATGTTGGTTTGTTTATTATAGATAACAACTTATTACTTTAAATAACAAAGTATAGGATGAGTATAAAATATATTATATGGATGAACATTAATGTTAGAAAAAAATGTAAACTCATGGAGCATTGAAACGGTAAGAGTTAAATATATTTTCTACTTGTTTTAAGTATTTATTACTAGTTTCAATTAACGTCAAAGTTTAGTAATAATTTCAAGTTGTATTTAATACAATACTATATTCCTTATGACACACAAAATGTATGACAAGAAAATACTTACGAGTATTCTAATTATCATGCTATCATATTGCTTAGTATTAAATTTAGAGTTATAATTTAGTAGCATAAATAACATATATAACAATATAAACTTGAAACGTATTGATTATTATGCCTAGTAAAGTATCATAATAATATCTAAAGCAAGTTATGTATGCAGTAATTAAATCGTTGATCAAAGACTTATGTAAGTCCTATTAGATATGTTATAAACATATAAGTGTATACCTGACTCGGAAAGAAATTGATTAACTTTTAGGAAAAAATATAATTTCGAATTAAGTAGGTCTTAATTGGTTAGAAACTCGTGTTGATAACATTTTGTAAAACAAGAGGAAAATATAAGAATACTAAACAATATAGGAAGACATGTGGTGATGGAAAATATAAATCTCTTCAAGTGTGTTTCACAAGGGTGAAAGACTACCCTTTTATAGGATATTCAAACCATCCTTTTACAATATTTGACAAATACGTTAGAATAGTATTTAATTAATGTATTAAATAGATACATTACGTTAGAAATAGATCAAGTGAAACATCCACCATTAAATGGATTTGTAACAAAAAACTTATTGTATAAAACAAAAAGTTCAAGACGGAGGATTTTTAAGGAAATGGAGAAGTTTTTTTCCTTTTATTTTTAAAAATTAAATTTAAGAACGGTTTGTAAGCAAATACAATAATTACCATTAAAAAATAAATTTAATATTATTGTTAAAAACTATGGATTCGTAGGGAAAATGAGGTAGTTTTTATTCCCTTTCTTTTTAACAATTTATTAAATTGTATTCACATACTTTATTTTTAATAGTAGAAAGAAAAGTCTTTCAATTTTAAAAAGAAAAAGGATATCACGTCCTTTAAAAAAAATCCTCAAAATTAGCCACAACAAAATACTTGAATAATTAATTTAAAATTCGAATTTCAAATAATAACTAACCCTATCCCTAAAAAAATCTCTCAACTTCCTAACTCACTTCTTTAAAAAAGAAGAAGTTACTATTCTTAAAGTATCATTCACATCTTTTTTAACCAAACTCTTCAAAATACGAATTCAAACATTTGTAAAACAAAAATTACATTCAAACAAAAAATTTATTACACTCATGTGAGATCATAATAGAAAATGAGGGCAAACATAGTAGTTTATTGTGTGTATATAGTCCATTTTTCTTAATTGTTTGATCTGAAATTATTTTGTTATGAGGAAAGGAGAAGGATCACCATTCTCTCGAATGCAGCAAAGAAAAAGAAGAAACAGATGATGAATACATGGAGGAATTCTATAGATTTCATAGCAGTGGACCATGTATGTCAATCACTATTTAAATTTGGTTGGCGTTCTTTACTTATGTTATTTTCTTTTGTTTTTAGATTTCAATAAGTGTTTCATTTTTGCAGTAATAAAACCAATATAAATTGTAACAAGGATGATGATGAATACATATCGTTGTAATTTTTATATTCTTCGTTTTCAAATACTTTATTAGTTTTAATATTTACGTTTTTTAAATTTATATGCAGATTGTGATAGTATACTATGACCCTGTATTGACATTTGATTATTCTTTTAGTTTTATCATTTTGATTATTATTATGATCATTTAACATTTGATTTATCTAACAATAGTCTCCTCACTTTTAAAGAAATACACATACACATATAATATGGATTGTGTAAGCGTATTTATGATTTTGTTTAATTTAAAAAATAATTTAATTGATTAATTTTAATATAATATTCTAAAAAGTATAATTAAAAATAAACATAAATTTGATCTAGCTATTTCATAAAATAAAAAACTGAAAATGACCAATGAAGGTTTTTTTTTTTTTTTTTGTAAAAATGTAACCGAAAAATATAAGAAAAATGCAAGAAAAAAAATAAAAAATTGTTGGCTACACAAGTTCGCTGGTCAAAATATGTTCTCTAAATGAAGAGACTGCTTTAAATTATATCTTATCATGACTTAATAGTCACAAATTACTTAAAATTGAGGTGTCTTTTTTTAAAATTCCCTTCCATAGATGTTTTTTTTAAAAATTGTTAAAGCAAACGTCACTAATATATAATATCATTAAAAAATGGTGAAGTCAGATAGGGCTAAGGGTTCAACTAAATCTCCTTCGTCAAAAAGTTACACTATTTATACAGGATTATAATCATATTATATTATTGTATTATTTTAATGTATATATAAATAATACAATATTATTTTATTTAATGTCATGACAAAAAATAAATAAAAAGTCAAAAGTTAAACGAAACAAAAAGAAGAACAAAATATTAGTGAAGGGATAATTAAAAATACGTAGGTAAATTTTTATTAAAAAACACATGAAGTTTGATAAATAAAACAACTAACTTAAATCATCCCTAAAATTCCTCACCCACTTACTTAACTACCCTAATTTTCAGTTTGATTATTTTCTTTAATCTTTTTTTTTTTGATAAATATTTATATCAAAATCTTTCAACTAACACTTTAAAAAAGAGACTTATAAGAAAAAGACTCAAAATTTTTATAAATTATCACGACTTCCACTTTTATCTTTTTTCCCCCTTAAAAATAATTAAATTCTTACTCATAAAATCTTCAATCACAACGAAAGTCACAATATCTAAAGATCTCGAATTATTAATGTAATATTTTTAATTTATTAATTGCTTTTTCCTTATTATCATAACAGATTTTTTTTAAATTAAAAATATATGAATTATTTTTATTTTTTGTAGTCCTTGAATTCTGGATGTTGATGCTAACGATACCAATGACAATAAATTAAATTAAAAAAATTCATGACACATAATAAGTAATAAATAAAACAATTAACGAAAAAAACATTAATAAATAATAAAGGAATAGTTAAAAATACGTATGTAAAAAAATTTAAAATAAAAAAATAGATAAATATTAGAAGAAGAAAAACTAACCTAAAATTCCTCACCCACCTACTATCCTAATCTCTTAAAACTCAATTATATATTTTAATGTTCTACCTACCTAATAGGAAAAACAAAAGTTCCACATCATATAACCTGAAGCATCACACAAAAATAAATAAATTTTGAATTTACAAAAATAAATTTATATATTTCAGATTTGTATTTTGTTAAAAAACCATGTCAACAACATAAATATTTTCAAGTTATCACATTTCATCATCAAAATAATTTTCAAATTTTCAGTTTAATTGTTTTCTTAAAAAAATTATCTCAATTATTTAGGAAACATGATAAATAATTATGTGGTATAATATTGATTTGATTATAGTATTTTTTTTATATTGGTATCTGAAATTCATTTTTTTGCATCCTTATTTATGAAATTATGTTTGATTAAATGAAAATCGTCTGAGAGCATCAGTTGCCGCACACACGACGGTGATTCTTCGTCTTTTTGCTGCAAATCTGTGTTTCGTCTAAGGAAATTCTGCAAGGATGGGTCGTGTGCGCACCAAGACCGTGAAGAAGTCATCTCGACAGGTAATTGAGAGGTACTACTCCAAAATGACTTTGGATTTCCACACAAACAAGAAGATCCTGGAGGAAGTTGCCATAATTCCTTCCAAGCGTCTCCGCAACAAGATTGCTGGATTCTCCACCCACCTCATGAAACGTATCCAGAAGGGACCAGTTCATGGCATCTCCCTGAAACTGCAAGAGGAGGAACATGAGAAACGCATGGACTTTGTTCCTGATGAATCTGCCATCAAGACCGATCTCATTGAAGTTGACAAGGAGACCCTTGACATGCTTTCAGCCCTCGGCATGTCTGACCTTCCAGGCGTTGTCAAGCAGGCAGCTGAGCCCCAAGCAGTGGCAGCTTTCCCAACATATGGTCGCGGTGCAGGAGGTTTTGGACGGAAATACTAATAAGAGAACAGTTACAGTGATCTTATGGCCTATTGAAGAAACTTTTTGGTAGATTATATGTTAGTTTTCCCTATTTTTTCTTTAAGGAGTCTTTGGAACTCATTCCAGTGTTTGAGACAAATGATGAACAACCCCTTTTGGTGTTAAAAAAATTTTTTAAAAATCGTCTTATTTTGCAAGATTGAACGAGAGAGAAGTATGCTAAAGAGGTTGCAACATGCTTTGCAAATTATATTTATATTTTAGCTAAAAGTAGAATCATGTTTTTAATACTTTATAGATTGATCTTTGAATTTAAATTTTTTATTAATTAAAACAAATATCATTTCAACACGTGTCACATATGCTATTAAGAATTCTTTAGAATAATGTTTGGTGTCTTTGAAGAACATATCCTCATCGCACATAGATTAAGGTAATTTTTTGTCAGTATTAATATGTAATTATACATGCACTTTTTAAACTCAATAATAATTTGTATTAATTTTTTTAAGTTTTAAAATATCTGCGCAACGTGCGGGTACGTATACTAGTACGTGTAAGGAGGATCAAATATACCCCATATGAATTATGTTTTTTTCAAAATAATAATTAAAAAATTAAATTAAAATTAATTGTTTCACTTTGGTTAAAGGAAATGAGTATATGTGAGTCATTGATTTAAATTATCTAAAGCCTCCTTCAACCAGACAACCACACTTAAAAACCAAACAAGCCCAAATCAGTAACTAGAGAAAATTGATGGAAAGGTATCCTTTAAGTTTGGAATTAACTATTGGTAACTATTTTGACCAAGAAAAGATCAAACACACTTAACTATTAAATTAAGTTAATTGTGGACTCAATTAACATTTTCAAAACTTATAATCTTTTTAGAAATACAAAACAATCCACCCACTAAATAAACAAACCTTACACTCCCTCTCTCAAACGTTCTCCTCTCTCTCACAGAAGAAAACGTTCTCCTCTCTCAAAAATTCAAAATTGCTTTGATCGGGACAATCAATTTCTCCAGCAACTTTCAACTTCCGATGACAGTACTTTGAACTTTCGATTCGTCTATTCTAACCATCCAAGGGAACAACGATTTGCAGGTAAAGCTTTATTTTTTTGAAAAACTTAGAGCTTTTTAGTTTTTTTTTTTTGAATGAAATACTGCAAAGAGACTATTCTGAGGGAGGTTACACTTTGCATATACTCTTCCCTCAAGCGTTGCCCAGGTTTTGTGCGATTCAGGTTGAGACAATGAAGCTTTTGCTTGTTTATGCTTTAGGAAGTGGACCAACTGATTGTTCTAGAAAGAAATACTTGTTTATTTGGTTTTCTTGTTTTTTGGGGTACTTGGAGAGTGATTTGGATTTGTGGAGTTAGTTGATAATTTAGGTGAGATGGAGAAGAAAAAGGGTTTACCCAATTGGGTTCCTGATGGGTCGACATATTCTGCAGGAATTTTTGGTTCTTGGAGTCCAAATTCTTACTTTCTGCATATTTCTGTATTATTATTACCAAAATTTGGCAAAGCTAGATGATTCAATCCCAAGTTTCATTAATAGTTTTTTTGTTGACTGTGAGTGACTGCCCCTTTTTTTATTTTTTTCATTGGTTGAGTTTGTACATGTATGATGTATAGGTGTAACAGAATATCATTTATTGTACATCGTAATATAGACAACTATAGATTTGGGACCATTTCAGCTTTTAGAATGAACCCTTGATCATAAATCTGAGCAGTTTTGGACTAGACACTTGTTACTTCAAAAACAAATGTGACTTCAAAACCAAATGGTCGTGACTTCAAAAACAAATGAAATCCACTTGCAGCAACCAAAATATGGTCCTCAAGTTGGTACTGCTATATGCTTTATAATATGCTAAAGGACATAAATAAAGGAGATAATAAGTCACTATTTATGTTTCTTTTGGCGGACTATATTATATGTGTCTTATTAAGTTTACTGTTAATGTTGCTAGAAAAATGTTGTGATCCTCTTTTTGTTATTCTCTGCATATTTTTTTCCCTTAATTTATGTTTGTTGAACCTTGTAATGCCTGGACAATATAAGTATATGAAATGTCCTAGTTCTGGTGATTAGTTGATCTTTCGTATATAGTTTGTTATGTGTTACTTTTCATCTCCAGCCAGTAAATTGTCTCTGACTTAAGCAATAACAACCATGCCTCAGTTCCAAGTTAGTTAGGGTCGGCTATATGAATCTTCACTACTTATTGCTATCTTTTATTGAATGATGCACAAATTGATTGTAATTTTTTTCAATTTTCTATTTGTAGATAAAATGGCTTCCAAAAGAAAAACAAGTAAATCAATCTCTTATAAATCAAGTAAAGTAGCTAAAATACAAACACCATTAGAAGAACTTGTTGAACAAGTCATTTCACAAAAAGATGATGTGTTACCTTCTGTAGATGTACAAAAACAGAATGAAAATATGAAAATTATAGAGGAAGAAGATAAAAATGAAGAAATCTTCTATAAATGACTCATCTATAGTCATCTATTGCAATAGATGGTTCATCTATTGGAAGAAAACATAAGAGTTTTCTACTGTTTTGCTTTCATCCAACAGAAGACTAATCTGTTGTAATAGATGAATCATTTGTTGGACGATAACTTAATCATTTGCTACTGATTTACGTACGTCCAACAAATGACCTATATGAACTATTTGTTGCAACAAATAGGTCATTTGTTGGACAAAATCTCAATCGTTTGATGTTGTTTTGCTTTTGTCCAATAGATGATCGATTTGTTGCAATAGATGGGCCATTTGTTGGACGAAAACTTAATCATTTGTTGTTGTTTTACTTACATCCAACAGATGAACTATTTGTTGCAATAGATGGGTCATCTGTAGAAAGAAAAATTTCAGAGTCATTCACACCATTGAAGATTATGAGGAGAAAAAAAATCAATTTCCAAGATATTATCAAATATGAAAAAGAGACAACAAATTGCAACTACTCTTCTTCCTTGCAATGTTGAGTCATCTTCAGGAGTCATAGAAGAGCAACAGAAGTTGTAGAAGGTATGGGCTGCTAGCAGAAGTTGTAGAAGGTATGGGTAGCTGAAGTTGTAGAAGGTATGGGCTGCTAAAGTCATATTTTGTAAGCTGAAGAACGTAATATGGATTGTAATTCATGAAAACTTATCATATTTTGTAACTGCTAATGAAAATGTTTTATATTTAATAGATGTTCAATTATTTTACCATGAATTTCATTCTATTCTTAGATTTGTAAAATGTTAAATTATACTATTAGAAATAGACATATGTTGCAATAAATTATGAGTTACTTATTGCAACAGATGACACATATATATAAAGTCAATTTAAACATATATGCTCATATGTTGCAATAGATGAATCATCCATTGCAACAGATAACCATATATGGGTCATATATTGCAACAAATAATACATATTAGACATTTGTTGTAACAGATTTCTATATTTGTTGCAACAGATGATCATATTTATTTGATTATTTTCAACAGATGAGTTATCTATTGCAACAGATAATGCATTGAGATTATAATTAAACTTATAATTGAAAGGTAATTATAATTAAATAACTTTATTTATCACTAATTATGGGTTAATGAAGCATTTCGTATCAAAATAATCAATTGATTACTTTATTTAAGACGAATACAATTAGGTGATTATGTAATTACTCTACAATACATTAAAAATGTAATTGAACTTATTAATTAAAAGGTAATTATAATTAAATAACTTTATTTATCACTAATTATGGGCTAATGAAACATTTCATATCAAAATAATCAATTGATCACTTTATTTAAGACGAATACAATTAGTTGATCATGTAATTAATCTACAATACATTGAAAATGTAATTGAACTTATTAATTAAAAGGTAACTATAACTAAATAACTTTATTTATCACTAATTATAGGTTAATGAAGCATTTCATATCAAATATATATAGAGTCAGTTGAAAATGATCAAACATATATGCTCATCTGTTGCAACTGATGCTCATATGTTGCAATAGATGAAGCATCCATTGCAACAAATAAACATATATGCTTGATTATTTTCAATGGATGGGTCATTTAATGAAACATATAATAATATTAGACATCTAATGCAAAATATGCAAAATTTGTTGCAACAAATGAGCATAACTAATATATTTTATATAATAAATATGAACATACACTATTAACCAAAATGAGTTAAAATTATCAGATTCATAACTAAGTACAAAATAGTTATTTCACTATTACAATAATTATGGAGCATTTCGAACCGAGCATGTTGTTCTCTTGTGTCCAATATTTTTACATATTGAAGACTTATTTTTTCTTGTTGAAAATGATTCCCCGACTCCACGCCTCCTCTTCGTTCGCCTTCTTTCCGATTTGCTTGGATCAACATATGGATGAGGTATTTCTCTCTCCAAAATCTCCAAAGGAACAATCCAAGAATCTTCAGGAGGCACCGGATTAATTTCCTCACAATATGCAATTATATATATTTCCACCGAATAATATGAAGACGAGTACTCATAGATCTGATTTTCAAAATGTGCACCATATTGGGATCGAAGCGCTGCCATAACATGTGGAGAAGGTATTTTGTTCAAGCCAAAAACTCTACATGTGCACGTTCTTCTTTGAAGATCGACCGTGGCAACATCACCATAACCGTTGATACTAAATTTGTAATTGGCTATTTGATGGGTCAATAACTTGTTTCCCAAATTGATATTCTTTGGTATTTGTTTTTTCATTGAAGGAACAAGTATGTTTGGTGAGTTGACCAACTTCATACGCCTCTCATGAAATAATTTTGCAAATCTCATATTTATTTCATCAAATAAAGCGACGATAGGAAATTCTCTTTTAACTTCAAACATTGCATTCACGGATTCAACAATGTTTGAGGTCATAATATTATACCTACACAAAAAAATAACTTTATAAGATATATAATTATATAAAACTTAAACAAGATACTCAATATATAATATTGTACCTATTTTCCAAACAAAATGCCCTGCTCCATCTATG